CTTAGGATCATTTTTCTGCCTTTTGTATGTCATGCTAATCTCCTAATTCTTTTTTGTTTCCTACCTTTTTCAAATTGGAAAACATGATCTTTTTTTTCCCCCTCTCATTTACTTTCTGCATCAGACTAAAGTTCCTGTTCTTTAAAAAAAACCAAGAAATGCCTATTTAGAGCAGCATACTGCTGAATAATCCCTCTTGTTTATGGATCTAAAGGGAGATTTGTGTTTGTATAAACATTCTGTGTCCAGATACTTGGCCATTGATAGAGCCCATCTCTGAATTTCACCTTCTTGCTTGGCATTCTCTTGTTCAAAATGAGATGCCACTGTCCTGCAGCTTGGAATCGTACCTCACCTGACACTTGTGTGTTCTAGCTACAGTTGGGGACATAGTATTAATAAGCTTGAGACGGCTTGTCTACCGTGACAGCATGGTAGAAAAATACATAAGGCAGTGCTTAACAAAGGAACTTCTTGCCTGTTCTTGGGTCAGCACTCAACAGTCCCTCAGAACCTTTCTTACAGAAATTCTTTTTCATTATTCTGGACAAGGGATACCTTGATCCAAATTAGCTATGTATGTTCAACTGTGAAACTCCAGAGCATTTCAGATACCCTAAACTCACTGCGGTATATTGAACATGAATAGAGATGTCACTGTTCTGTGAGAATGAGCCAGAAATAATCTTGCTGAAAGTTGTGATCATCATTCCAGTGGTCTCTGTTTTAATTGCAGTATTTTAACCAGGATTCAAATGCCTTTCGCAGGCCTCTACAGTATATTTGCCCAAGCATGTTCCATGCTTCAAAATGGAAATTGCAGGCACCTAATCTACCCAATAGCAATTGCATCACTTTTTCCCCTTCAAAATTTATTGAATCCAAACCATACCTAATGTTCTGTTGAGTAAACTTCATTTTGGAATGTTTTTCTTTGGCTGTTTTTAACTCCTTGTGAGTGAAATTCTGTAGTTAAACTCCTAAGGTTTTTTCTTTTAGACTTCAGCTACTTCAGTAGCTTCAGCTACTTTTGTTTCTTTCAGTTGCATGTCTTTGAAACTTTTTTTTCCTCAAGTTCTTCAAAATTGTCTTTTACTTATGAGTCTTTACCACTCTTCTTCCAGAACCTGACAGCCTCTTGATACCAGTTTCTTGACTTAACACAAGTGGTGTTTTTTTCTTTCCCAGTCACTGCCTATAATGCAATGCATTCTACTAAACTGGTTTGTGAGACTTCTTGCTTCACTCTGTTCTTCAAAAGCAAGTGTAAGAAAACAATAAAAATACAAGATTTAGCTGGAAGAAGTTGCCTGAAATCTGCATGTAACATTGAACTTGTTTTTATAATGTAGTCTTTCATGAATAAATTTTAAGCAGGATGAGGTAAGGATTTGTTCAGTATGTCCATGAGAGCAAGAGAAATTTTTTTTTTTCCCATTATGTCTTTGTCTCATAAATGTAGTTTTGGGGAAATGAAATGAGTTGCACATCAAATGTGATGACCAGTTTTGTTCTAAGTTAGCAACATTTGAAGATCAAAAGATTTCAAATGCATGAAAATTTAATACTGACTGTTAGATTGGGATAATGACCTAAGTGTGTTAGCAAGATTCACTGTGTAGGTGATGAAATATACTCTACCAGCTGATATGATTGGGCAAACAGTGATATAGGGGCGTACCATTGAGTTTCTGAAAGTTAGTGCAAGGACAGGAAAGACGACTGTTGTAGTTCACAAGGAGAGGGCAGCATGCAGTGGTGAAAGGTGAAGTGAAGGAATTTCTCAGTACAACAAGAGGGAGTAGGAGGGGTTACCATTTGTACAGTAAAAACCTTGGGAAGTGCTATTTTAAAAATCAGTGATTGGAAATCTGCTAGTAAAGAATAGAAAAAGAAGTGTAGAGGTCCTGTTGCGATAACATGAAATAATTCACACAGACTGTTTAATAAAAGCTGAAAACTTGGCCAAAGGTGTAGTTTTTCAAGGAGACCACAAAAGATATCTCCCTGAAGCTGACATTCCCTCTTCTTCCCATTCCTTTGAAATTTAAAATCTTCTGGTTCAAGCATTAGAATTTCTACAGCTTCCCAGTGAAGTAGAAATTGGCCTGACTAGGCTTCTTCTCATGTGTGTGTCTGTGTGCGTGCATGCACACGTATGCAGTAGATGTCTTTTTTGTCCCTAAGGAGAGGTGGTGGGGACTTTGAATCAGTTTTATCACATTGGGAAGGTTTAACCCAGTTACTTGTTTGCCTAAGTCATAAGCAACAGATTCTTATAATAGAAAGTTTTAGGTCATCTTGACTATTTTGACCCTATTGTTTCTCTTTGCTTATGATTATGCAAATAATCATCTCTCAAAAATGATTGAAATCCTAATTTTTCAAGCAATGTAATAGATCTACTTGGTAGTAAATTTACTACTATCTACATTAGATGAAAAGAAATCACAAGGGAAGGAGACTGCATTACAACATGTTGTAGAAATAATGGCGTGGCACTGTCATTCTATGAGGCTGGGGAATTAAAAATGTAAAAACAACATTTCTCATGGGTTGTGGCAGCAGCACTTAATGGAAGCACGTTATTTAGATTAGGCATGTACAAAAACTCAGCAGGATTCCGTAAGTCCAGCAGTGTCTTCAAGTAAGCTCTATGAAAAGTTAATCATGTTGGGTTTTTTTGTTTTTTTTTTTTAATGGTTTCCCTATCCATCATCTAGCTGTATATAGGCTCAGCATTCCAAGCATGCCAAGTGTCCCTCTATAGAAAAGGTGTTTATGAGAAGATGGCAAAGAACACAGTCCTCAAAATGGTCAAAGGGACAACTGTATTTTGGTCTAAATGTGATCAAAACCAAATCCTGAACATCACAAAGTCCTCTGAAATAGTGTTGCTTTGAGCTCTTCTAGTTAATGTCGACTTGAGCCCAGGTAGCATATGTTCAGATGCAGGCTTTTAAATGCAAAGCCATTTCCTTCCTGAAGTGAAACTAACTGGCAGTAGTCTTTCCCCTAACCCTGAAATTCCTTAAGCCCAGATTTCCCAGTTGGTAGGTTTAATTGGTAAGTGAACAAGCTGTGAAGTTATATCCCTACACTGGCATTAGGTGGCAATGTGGGATTTGGCGAGGACTCTCAGCTTTGCCTGCTTACACGCTTTTGTAGCACCATGGTGTAGATGCCTCTGAACTGTCGGTTGATCGATGGCACCTTGTTAGTATTCCCCTTGGTTGTTGGCTACTGTCCTGTGCAGTTTTCAGGAAGTTATGGAAACCTGTGGTCCTTGGAAGTTTACAGCTGGGGTAGCCAAATCTAGAGGCTGCTTGTTTTGACTGGTGGGTTTTTTTTGTTGTTTTGTTTTGTTTTGTTTTTTGTTTTTTTAAGCCCTGGCTCTGGCCTTCTGTAAAGAAAAATTCTCAAAGGCAATTCACTTATGTCATAGGAGAGAAAGATTCCTTGGAGTTCTGGTGGAAAGGTCCTTGTGTCCTTTTGATAGCAGCCTCATTTTCAGTGGCAGGGATGCTCTTTCTCTGTTCTAAGCCCTCTGAAACAAAGGTGAAACAGGGTATTTATGCCTTTCACACTTTACCTGGTCATGGACATGAATCTAAATGAGGGTGAGGGGAGATTGCATGGGTTTTCATTTTGTTTTTGTTTTTCTCTCTTTTGTTTTTTTGAGCTTGCTACATAAAATTTCTGTAAGCTGTTGGCAGTTCCTCTGTAATGCTGTGTTCTTTGGTGTTCCTGATGTATTGAAGGACTTACGGTGACTTCTTGTCTTTTGCTTTATTGTTCTGGTAGTTTGCTACATTTCTTCAATTTAGAGCAGAGCATCTTTTAAAGTCTTTTTTCATGACCATCAGGAAGAAGGAAGCTTTTAACTCGGTCTTGAAAACATGATGCAACTGTAAGGTTCTACAGCCCATTTTACACTCCAGTCTGTTTCTGGCAAATTCTTAGATTCTCAGGGTGCTTGAAGAAACTCACGTAAGGCTAATAGTAATTAAAAGATGGAAGAAAATGGTGTGAAATACATTTTTATAGAAGTCAGATTTTTGATAATTTAAGAAAAACAGAGGTGCTTTTTCCCATTCCCTCAAACAGTATAATCTTAAATTGTGGATTGAGGCTCAGATGCAGGCTGGACAGATTGATGAGGAATAAGACCATCAACTGCTATTGAACACAGTAGTGGTGATGCACCTTTTGGCTCAGAAGTTCAAAACCTACTGCTTAGCGGTTGCTTGGAGTGTGTGTTGGCAGAGTACCATGCTGCGCATGCCCTGATTTTCTTCTGAAAAAGCTTTTGGTTGCTGTAGTTGGCAACACAGTAGTGGGCCAGGTAGATCAGCTGTAACCATTTTTTATGTCATGTCACTTGATGTTGTCACTGCACTTCATCTTTTCTTGGTGTGACACCACTTTGAAATTTCAGTCTTAGGCACTTCTGGTTATTTCCCGTCCTCCCCACCTAAGATGCATCAACTGTTTCTTTTGGTGGCCTGTGAAGAGAGAACAGGTTAACTGTAGTATACGTGGCTTATGAGGAAAAAAATTATTTTGACCAAGTGAATATTTTCAGTTTTAAAACACAACAGGTTCAGAGTTCAGCCCTGTATCACTTCGTTATGGGAGACGGGTTAGTGAAGGAGTTGCTATTTATAGGAATATCTATTTTTGTTAATGTATTTGAGATGATACTGCTTCTAATTCAGTAATGAAAAATAAAGCTTTTATGTAGAGCTGTAATTGGAAGTACTGCCAGATACTTTACTGAAAGGATTCTGGCTGAGCTGTGCATTTCAGAAAGCTGCTTTATATTCTGAAATGTTCTGCAGTGTGACTTCCGCCATACTGTATAGATCCAGAATGTGCTTCTCGCTTGTGAGCTCTCTTGGCCAGGTGTTCTGCATATTATGATGATATGTTCTCATTAATCATATTGTGATAAGAGGTTTTGTGAACACATTTTCTTTTTGTTTTGTTTTGTCTTGCAGGCACCAAGTATAGATGAAAAAGTAGATCTTCACTTTATTGCATTAGTTAATGTAGGTGGTCATCTCTATGAATTGGGTAAGAACACTTTTTTATCTGCTCTCTCCATTTGTTTGATACAAATACAAGTTAGTAATGTTGTTAACTAAGTTTGAGAGAGATTGAGATGTAATGTAGAGCTTAGGTTCTCTTCAACTGCATCGTAAGGTCTGGGGGCTTTCCCCTTTTTTTTTTTTTTTTTTTTTTTTTTTTTTTTTTTTTTTTTCTTCAGTTATGCTTACCTCAACTCATATTAAGATAGAATACTAGACTGCCTCTAAAATTCCTTTATGATTTACAAGGACAGGAAGCAAGAAAGAATTGATGAATGCTCAAAATTTCAGAGAGGAACGTACTGTTACGTCCCTGAATTGCTTGTGGAATTAATAAATGAACTGTATGCCACTTTAGACGTGGTAGCTATATTATTAAGTAGCATGATACAATTTAAACTGAAATTATGTAGTCAGGATACTAGCAGATACTAATATTCTGCAAGTCATTTGTTATAGGCTCGTTATTTTTTCTTCTACCTTTTTGTGGTCACTAGACAGTTAATGGTAAAACAGTAGTCTCTGTTTTCTGAATTACAGCTATTTTTTTTCCCTCTTCGGATTGTGTAGCACCAAATTCTGCTCAGATATTCTCTAATGACTCCAATATTAAACTTGTTGCTGGGCAACTAGCTTTCGCCGCAGGCGCTTCAGAAAACTAGGAAGTAGATCAGAATTTAAAAACTGCAAGTCATTGGTCTTCCCTAACATAATTTTTGCAGTATTTTATGGTGAGAACATGTTCGTCTTTTGAGAATCAACGTGTAATTAAGCAATGCCCTTAACAGGTGACAGCTAATCATAACCTGGGGCATAAGTGGTATATAAGAAATGGTTATGTTAATATTAAAGTGATCTAGGGGGTATTATCAGCGCTAAGTCATGAACAATAGGCACACAATTCTGTATTTTTATGATGTTCTATGCCTGACAGTGAACAACATCAAATAGTGAGGCAACTACTGTAGGATGCAATATAAATATTTTATGACTCTAAATGTCAAGGTGTGATGGATGGCTTACTCTTCTTTTAGTTGTGTTCTACTACTTCCATGTTACCTTGTCATTGTGCGTTAATTTGCTCTTCTTAAAAAGCACACTACAATGATTACCATGTTTGGCTATTTTCCCTAAGTATAAGATAAAACCCACTTGAATTTTTTGCTTAACTAAAAAAAAAAAAAAGTCATTTAGCTTCACTGTGTAGTGGAATGCCAATACTAATATTTCCTTTGTTCTTAAAATAACTTCTCTCTGTATCAGCGGAAGAAAGCAAAAAATACTTAAAAGTAGGAAAATGGGAGAAGGTTTTTCAATTGATTCACTGGCTTCAGTCACTGTGGCCAGCATGTGGGCTTTGGCAGGCAGAAAATGCTAAGGAAGCACATGGATGTTAAATGCTTATGATGTTTTTGCCATAGAAAACACATTATTTATAGGCACATGAAATTAAAATGCAGTTCTGCCAAGATGTATGTAAAAAAAAAAAAAAAAAAAAAAAAAAAAAAATTGAATCAAATTTATCTTGGAGCAGTACAGGGCATTCAGTTCTGTTTCCCTGGCACAGTCTGAGGGTTTTGCATTGTTGTATCTTCAGTCATGGTTGTTACAATAATGAACTTGTTCATGTAAATCCAAAAGTTTTCTAACATCAAATCTATTTTTAGTTATGGAAAATGTAGTTTGGAAGTGTTGTCAACTTTGATGGAATCTTTGGGGAGGGAAAAGTCTTTAAAAGGGAGGACAGAGCCAAAAGGGAATTTGGTCTAGCAAATACTTAGGATACCCTGACATATGTTCTCATAGCTCTTCTCAAGTAACCTGAAACATATTTCTGTGAATGAAATTATTTTTAAAAAGCTGAGAATTACAGCATTATTATATTGCAAATGGCAGAAAAATAATTAACTATAGCAACCATTTTTAAATGCTGTGAAAGTACTTAACACTTAAAGTTATTGGGTTTGTTTGATTATTTATTTTAAATGAGAGTCACATTTCAGTTATGCCAGACTCTTCAGACTGGTTGGTTTGGTACTCTGTTCTGTTGTGGAGTCCCTGATCACAGCTGTCCAAGACCACAGATGTACAGCTGTCTGTCTGGGTAAATCCGTTAAGTGTAGTCGAAATCATTCTTCTCTGCTTGAAAAACTGAAGTACCATACCAGCACTAAAACAATTACAACTTACAGCCTTAAAGTTTTCAAATAAAATACTAAAAAGTATTTCATTTTTGTGACTGATTTTTTTTTTTAATGTAACAGATTATACATAATGATACCTGTTGAAGCAGTCAGCAGTGGAGGAGACACCAGGGAATAGCTAGTTGCATGCGTGATTCTTTTATGAAAAATGAGGTAGCATTTTTGTAAGTGGAGAGCAAAAAATCTGTTCAAATAATTTTAACTGGAAAAATGAAGCTTTTCTAATTTTATGAATGTGTTGTTCAATCCTGCTTTGTGTTTCAACAGATGGGCGCAAGCCATTTCCAATAAACCATGGGGAAACTAGCGACGATTCTTTTTTAGAGGTAGGAACAGAAAACCTTCTTAAGTGGTGCTATACAAAATTCTTGCTATATTTCTGCAAAGTTTATTAAAAAAATATAAAAACATGTATACAAAAGTCTTGCTGTATTTATGGTTGGATAAGGAATAGAGCCAGTGGGATGGTGAGACAAAATTAGGTTTACTCAGTTTTAAAAGGTCAAGGGAGGCGATTCTGCCCCTCTACTCTGCTCTGGTGAGACCTTACTTGGAGTACTATGTCCAGCTCTGGAGCCCTCAGCACAAGAAGGACATGGAACTGTTGGAGTGGGTCCAGAGGAGGGCTACAAAAATGATCCAAGGGCTGGAGCACCTCTCCTATGAGGACAGGCTGAGAGAGTTGGGCTTGTTCAGCCTGGAGAAGAGAAGGCTGCGGGGAGACCTGATTGTGGCCTTTCAGTACTTAAACAGGGCCTATAGGAAAGATGGGAAAAATCTTTTTAGTAGGGCCAGCTGTGTCAGGACAAGGGGTGATGGCTTTAAACTGAAGCAGCGTAGGTTTAGACTAGACCGAAGGAAGAAATTCTTTACAATGAGGGCAGTGAAACACTGGAAGGGGTTGCCCAGAGAGGTAGTGGAGGCCCCATCCCTGGAAACATTCAAGACCAGGTTGGATGGGGCTCTGAGCAACCTGATCGAGTTAGCGGTGACCCTGCTCACTGCAGGGGGGTTGGACTAGATGGCCTCTAGGGGTCCCTTCCAACCCAAAACATTCTATGATTCTATGATTCTAAAACTGTTATATCAGTATGCTCATGTTGTGACTGTGGGTGACAGAGCATCGTAACATGATAACAAGAAACGTCAGAAGGTTGGCCATAACAGAAGATCAGACTGACTTTTCTTCCGTGCTGAAGATTTTTATATACCCCTGCTCCTTTCAAATCATGTGAGATGAAGTCATCAGATTGAAAATTTAGGATAATTTTTCATTCTCTTCCCTTTGGTTTAGTTATTGTTTGGTAGGTGCCATGTTAGAAGTTGATTTCCTTTCTGACACTTGCTCATAATCATTCTTCTCCAGTTTTGTGGCTTCTTTTGCGTACTTCTTTGTGTCAGGAGCTGTTTAGTTGGGAAATGAATTGGAAAGGAATACAGTGAATGGGGAGGAGTCATCACAACAGAATGATGTGAAGTTGAAGCTGAGAGAAGACTTTTATGGTATCCAGACTGGATTAGCTTTACAAAAATAAGAAACCAGAGAAACTAAAAGCCAAACAAATAAAACCTTTTCTAGATTAGTAGCATAGACTAACGTTTGTAAAGTTTGCATACAATTTTTGCTTGTTGGGGTGAGGGGAGAAGTTGGATAAAGCTTTCCTGTTTTCATATGTGGCTTTTTTCTCTTTTACTGATAACATGTGTTGTCCAGATTGCACCCTAGAGCTAGATGAAGGAATTACTTAAAATCTTTCACTTACCCTACACAGCTTAGATTCATCTTGAGACAAAGGAAAAACTTCTGAATACAGCAGTACTAGTAAAGGCAAACTTCAGAGATGAGTTTAGAAAGTCAGACAAGCAACACATCTGTTGCACAGAGTGTTATTCAGTCACAAAAATCATTGTTGCTAAGGTTCTGCATAAAACTTTTGCTCTCTTATGCTGCCCATATGAGCACTGTAAAGAATCCTGGTAACTCAGATCAGAAATGGAGTTTACATAGATTTGTCACACTATTTAGTAATCCTTTAGGGAAAAATCCATTTTGAGCATAATTTGTATGAAGCGTATCTTCATATTTCAGCTGTGGGATTTTTTTAATAAGTATGATTTATAGTGGTTTTTGTTTTGTTTTTTTGTTTGTTTTTGTTTTTTTTTACTTTTTTCCCTAGGATGCAATAGAAGTTTGCAAGAAATTCATGGAACGTGACCCAGAAGAATTAAGATTTAATGCAATTGCACTCTCTGCAGCTTAAAAGCCTTTTCCAGTGGGCTAATCTATTGCAATGTATTGTAACAATAAAACTGTTGCCATATGTTAATAGTACAAATTTTGATACTTCCCTAACATGTTGATTAATTGTAGCATACGTGGAATAAACTTTGCATTTGTCCTTGCTATATCTTGCAGCTTGTTCCTAAAGCAACTTTGGGTATTTATATACACGCATGCATTTTGTGCAAAACTTCTATGATTGTTTTTTTCCCTTCCACCACCTTAAAAGTTTTGGGAATTAGTGTCTGTAATATTGCATTGTAATAATGATGAGCTAGTTCAGAGCAGGATTATCGTTTGTATCATTCACAGGTAACATATTGAGTGGAGTATGTGGTATGTTAATGGATAAAAACTTGAAATACGAGGCTATCTCCATCTTTTAATTATAATGATACAAGAATATTACAAGAACTTTTGCAGGTAGCTCAAAAGACAAAGGCATTTTTTTCAGTGCATCATTTATAAATAAATATATGGAAGAAAAAAGGCAGAAAAGACTGTTTCTTCTTACTGTTGGTGAGCACTAACATTTTAAAATTATCTTAATCTTTACAGTTTGAATAAAACTTAATTTTGTTTCTCAAGCCTGATAATATTAATAAATTGTCAAAAAGCTTTAGTTAAACCAATGTTTGCTATTTGTATATGTGGAAAAACAACATGGATTTTTGCCCCAGAAAAGCCACACTAGTAATGAATGCTACTTCCAACGGTAGGACTGCAGAGGGCACACACGGGTGAATGCAGCAGTGTGAAGTATCTCACCTAACTGAAATAAATGACAGAAAAGTAACGATGATTGTAATGAAGTTTTGTGTAACAAGAACAGAAACAGACTATCGATTTTAAGGTAGCCATGATAGTCATACACTTTCTTTTCCCTTTAGGAATATCTATTGTAAGTTTGTCAGGTGGCATTACTGAATGCTGTGTAATACCCTTCCCTGTGCCATCCTTCCCACCCCACCCACTGGACCCTAAGGTACTGTTGACCAATTTCTTGATTGGTTTGGGGTTTTTTTGTTTGGTTGGTTTGGGTGTGGGTTTTTCTGGTGGGTTGTTTTTTTTTTTTGGCTAAGCAATCTTATGCCTTAGGATTCTTGTGAAGGTTGGATTTAGTTAACGTGCATGTGTGTGACATTCCAGAAAAATACTCCTTATTTGTTGCTTTGAGGTGAAATAATTCAGATTTGCTTCCAGACAAGACCACTGCTGAAGGAAACTGAACCCTTCATGTCCCAGAGGGTGCTTTCATTCTCTATCAATTGTCATTGCAGGAAAAATGAATGGGGTTGTGCTAGGAGCAATCTGGCAGAGTTTTCCTTCTTTATGGGAGTGAAATAGGCCTGGGAATCTGTCTTATCGCTTAAGAACATCTTTTTGCACTCTAAAGAAAAAAGTCAGAGTGTCTGTCTAAAACATGTCACCTGGAGAGTCCGCTAACAACAGGAGTCTGTTTTCTATAAGTGAGATGATTGGAAAAGTGTGGAGGAAGAACAACACTAATGAGCTTCTATTTTTTGATCACTTTTTCACCCCAAGAAAATGCAGGATCGGTTAAGACTCGCTTTGTGTTGCCATGCTCCTTAGTAAAGCCCTGAAACTTGCTCTTAAATAAAAATCAAAGGCTTCAATAACTAAAGCAGCTGCTTTGTTTTCCTGCTAATATCAGATGTCTTCCTGCTAATACCAGAAAAAACAAATGAAAGTTGTCACAATGTAATTGGGACATTGCATATTTTATGCTAAAGGTGACTTGGAGGATTATGTTTAACAGAAGCCACAGTTAATGTAGATAAGGTGCTTTTAGGGTAGGGAGGAGGGTGAGGAAAGAGAGGGAGAGGAAGTGCAGTTCAAAGCTGTTAAACTAGCTACATCGGTTGTCTGCTTTAGGGAAACATTCACGCCACATGGTCTTCAAGGTTCAGAAGATTTTGGTGGGTTTAGGTAATAAGGATAATGGAGGTGCTCTGGTTTTGTGCAGTCATTTATTGCAAAATCACTTCAGAACTGGAGCTTTAATGGAGTATGAGGACCAATTTAGGTGAATTCATGACAAAGGAAATCAAAGTTAGAACAGTAAACTTGGGGTGGGATTTCTCATGGTCACACTGGAAAACCACATCTTGAATCTTAAGGAAAATTTTCTAAGATTTCTTAGTATTTTGGCAACAGGATAGTTTTGCTCAGTGTTTCTTAGGTAGTCTTCAAATCAGTTGTCCCACATGGTAAGGTTTCCTTCTATTTTGTTTTACTTTTTTAATTTCTGGTTTATTTATATATAAGATGGTACATTTTAGTGAACATTGCTTTTGGAAAGGTTCTCAAAAGTTTGAAATGACAAAGGAAGACCAATGCACCAGTTTTTATGCTGAACTGTATCTGCTCGCTGCACGGCCCCTTGCTAGATTGAAAGACCGCGCTGCAGAAATACTGTCTCGCCCGACGTGAGCGGTGTCACGGCCTTCTGGTGCTTCTGAGACCACACTTTGGCACCAGCATTGGTGACCGTCTCGGGGAGCACAGGAAGGAAAGGGATCAACAGGATGCTGGAATATCTTTGGCATTGACAGATCTGTATAACTCACGACGCAAGGAGTGAGGTACAAACACTTGGCTGACTTTTACAGCCCAGCAAGCTCCTGACCAGGGGCTGATGAGCCCCTGCAGAGCCACATGGTGCTTTTGGCTCTGCGATGCCCAAGCGGACGTTGCCTTATCTGTACGATCTGTGCTTAACAGCTCGAGCTCCGTGGGAAAATAACGCTGTTATTTCCACGCTGGTGCAGCCCTGCCAGAGCCTCGCCACCTTTGCGTGGAGCACGGTTTGGCGCTATGTGACTGCCAAGAAATCCCTCTTCAGCTCCGGCAGCCTGGGCTGGCCCGACGTATCATCTGAGGGAAACGGTGCGTGTAGGAGTGAAGCGATGATGCACGCTCAGCACTTCCCTTAATTTTAGCTGAGTGGAGCTGGTGTGCTATAAAGTACTCAGGATTGTTCAAGCCCTTTTAAGTATATTGGTGTCAGTTTTCCCATACTATTAGTAGCGTTTTATTGAGAAACCGTAAGAGTTTTAATAACCAGTACAGTGCTCTTCCCTTTCAATCATGGCTGCATGATTCAGTTAAGGAAAGAAGGAGAAGTAAGTGTTTTCTCTCATTGAAACGTAAGTTTTAGATAATAAACTTAACAGCCCACATTTAAAAAATAAATATGGTCTATAAATATGGCAGGGAAGAAGCCTGCCTTGGTGGAAAATAATCCTGTATCAAATATTTGTAGAAAGTCTCTATGAAAAGAATATGACATAAGCTGTTGCTTGACTTCTCCCTGGGAGCACACACACACTTGCTGAGTAGAACAGTATGATGTTTGCCACTTGTGACACCAGCAATGAGCAGTCATAGCTGGTACACATAGCCTTTTTGTGATCTAGGAGTCTGGTGACTTACCTTGCTAGCACAAAGGAACAAACTGATTTGGTTGTTTGGGCTTTCATGGATAAATCATCTGTGACGGTTGAGTTAAAATTCCCTTTGAGGAAGAAATTTGCACGTTGGAACTTTTTTTTTACTCAGTGAAGAACTTCGACTTGAAAGCTGCTGTGGTCCATGCAGCTTACTAAAAGGAGGATTTAATCAAATGGCTTGATTACTCAAATTACTTGAATCATTTGATCTCAAACATTAAATACTTGACTCACAAAAAAATTATTTGATTTGCCATTAAGTGAAATAAACCAGCCAGAAATAAGTGAGAACTTGGAAACTGTGTTTTAAACATGACCTCTTTTGAAACCCGTTTCATAGACTTTTATTCTCAAATAAATTTAAACTTTTATAGTATTCATTGTCACTTCCTCCTACTGAAGGGCAAGCATCATATTTTTATATGAAGTGAAAAGGCAGACCTTAAAAATCTGGGAAAGGCTGCAGTAGTTCTCCAGAGAAACGTTCAGTAATGACAGCTGACGCACACTGATGTCAGCCAGCAGCAGCAGCACATGCACGCTTTATTTAGACTTTTTTTTTAGCCTTTGTAGTCATGAATGTTAAACAGTGAGGCGAGAGGGTTGTTTTCTGATGCTCAGGCTTCCCTCTTAAGAAAAAGGCAGATTCTTCATTTGTACTTGGTCTTGTGGCTGATCTGGCTTGGAGAAGGAGAGGAGTCGAAAAAAAAATAATCAAAATTGTAGCTTTATCCTTTCTTCCATCGCTGGCTCTATAGCATAGATGTCTCAAATCTTCCTCGCTGTGATGTAATTTCTGTGCATCTGTAACTTTAATAAATGACAAACATCTCCCGAGGACCTTACTTCAGGCAGAGTCACCGGGCTTTCCTTCCAGTGTGTACCACCAATAACACCAATTTCCATGCACGGCAGAAGCTGATGGCTAATAGCTGCTTGCTACGTTGAACTGATCTCCTAAAATCTTCTTTCCTATTCTAGGAAGGTTGTTTACAGAACCGAAAGAAGATGTGCTCCCAAGTAAACATCTGAGGAGAAGCTAATCAGTGTGCAGTGCAAATTTTTAAGTTATCTTTTCTCAGTAGTCTTTAAATATTTACACTGTATGTTCTGCAGGGGGCTGTATGAGTAGAAGATGTGTGCAGCAGCTCAGTTTTGCTTACAGAGGAGACAGGGAAAGAAAACTATTATTAACAGCTCAAGTAGAAAAAAAGATCATCCTAAATGCAATGCTAGAAGGAAATCATGTACTTTTGAAAAGAAAAAAACCAAAAACCCTAATGCTGTGCATGGGATGGCAGGGTTAGGTTAATGGTTGGACTTGATGATCTTAAAAGGTCTTTTCCAACCTAAATGAGTCTATGATTCTATGAATATTCCAGAAAATGACTTTTTCCTGACTTTTCGTTTACTTTTCTGCTCTGAACGTCTCTACTGTCTACTCCTCCGCTGGAAGAAAGGGTTTTGCTGTGTTCGGTCAGAACACCGGCTCTCTCCCGGCTCTGGGTTGAGGGCTAGGTCAGGCTGGGAGAAACCTGGCTCTGGCATGGCACAATCCCAACTCGCCCCATCCAGTGGTGACCGTAGGGGCCAGAGCCCAGCACCCCATCCAGCCAGGCTCGGGAGCTGTCTCAGGCTGAGAAAGGCCTGGCTAAGACGGGGCTTAAGCTCTGAGCCCGTGGGGAGTGGAGAAGTCACGAAGAAACTCTGCCGGCGTTATCGGAGGCGGGGGCAGGAGTGAAATAAAGCACTGGGCACTAGTGGGGGAGCAAAACCCCAATTGCTGCAACTGGTCTTGGGGGCAGGAGGGAAGCACCGGGGCTGAGCTGTGCGGCTCCAGCTCTGCCCCGGGCATCCCCGCTTCCATCATTTTGTGTGAGAAGAGTTCAAAACAAAGCGTGGACCTCTCGTGCCTTCCAAAGCAGTGGAAGAGGCTCCCAACTTCGCCCCCAAAGGCCGC